GATTCCAAATCAGGGCTGCGATATACAATATGGTTCAAATCATCTGGAACAGATGTATTTGTTATTGTTAAATATACTGAGGTTTGGGGTAAGATTGGGAAAAGTATTAATTCTGCCACCTTTATTTTTAAGTTATTAGGGATCAAAAAAATGAAGCCTCAAATTTCCAAGTCTCTCTACATCAAATATTAGTTTATGAGAGTTATTCAGTTTGATTTTGTAGGAACCTGATTGTTAAAACAACATGTTATATATTACTAACGCACCTCTTTCATATTTAAAAACATGATTATGTAATTATTGAATAAGTTCATATTCATAAAAACAATACCTTGAAGATTTTTAATCATGTGTAACATTAAAAGTTTTTTGGAATTTTTTTGCTTTGATTGTTATTTTGCATACTATTATGAACTGAAAATTTGTGTCTCCCTGAAATTCACATGTTGAAATTCTAATCCCTAATGTGATGTTATCAGGAAGTAGTGCCTTTGAGAGGTACTTAGGTCATGAGGGTAGAGCTTTCATGAATGGGATTACTGCCCTTAAAGAAAAGGACCCCAGAAAGATCTGTTTCCATTCTGCCCTGTGAACATAAACTGAAAAGGTAGCCGTCAGTAAACCAGAAAGAGGGCCTTGACCAGACACCATGTTTGCTGGCACCTTGATCTTGGACTTGCCAGCCTCCAGATCTGGTGAGAAGTATGTGTTTGTTGTTTAAGTCACCCAGTCTTTGGTAATTTGGTATAGCAGCCTGAACTAACTAGGACACATCATCTTTGGAAATGTTTATGAAATTCAATATAAAAATACACTACTAATATTTTATTTAGATTATAAATAAAACATTTGGAAAATCGAATAACATGTGAAAACCACATCAAATTAGCATAGACCTTGTGTCATCTCTTGAATATGTTTAAAAAGTTTATATTTTAAATTTTATTTCTGTTGTTTTTTAAAGTTGCATTACAGTATTTGTAAAATTTTATGCAGTTCTTTTTATCCTACTTATTAGACTCTAAATATTTTTAAGAGAAATTTTTTATGCTTTATTTTTATTTATTTATTTTACAAAATTTGTTGAAAATATAATTTTAGGGGAAACTATTAATAAAAACAAAAATACGTTATGATCACTATAAAAAATTAGAGAAATAGAAAGATGCAACAAAATTACTAACAAACTCAAAATTTAGGTGCAGTAATTCAGTTTGGTATACAAATGCAAACAATACAATTTTATTAACATCGAATAATATGCTTTTGTAATCTGCCTTATTGTTGGTTCACTTCTGTACCATAAGCCTATAATCATGATGTTTTATTATCTTTTAAAGTCGTATTTTAATGATCATATAGTTTTTATTTAAGATACAATATTTTACATATGTACATTGTTGAAAATTTAATATTTTTCTGATTTTTTAATCATGAGTAATTCTGAGATTAATATTTTTACATATAAACTTTTGCCTACAATTCTTTCACTGCAATAAATTTAAGAAGGGGAAATAATGGATCAAAATATATAAATTAAGGCTCTAAACATATAATATTAATTTGTCTTTCAGAAGAACTTTACCAAATTACATCTTTAACAGTATACTAGGGCACCAAACAAACACTGGAATGTTTCAAATTCATGTTTCCAGTGTTTCACATGATGAATATCTTCTTGTTGCATTAACTGAATTTTTTATTCTGAGACATGTTGAAATTGCTTATCAACTGGTTTACTTCCATATTCTGATGTGTTTTGTCAAGTCCTTGTCATAGGGTCTGTAGTATTTTGATATCACCATTCATAAATTATATATAAAATAAAACAACAACCTCTTTGTTATCACATTCTTTGCTATTTCTCTACAAAATTATTTGGCACTTTAATTTTGTTTTAATATATAGAAACTTTTTTATTTAGCAAAATTTTAAATATTTTTACTGTATTTGAATTGCCTCAATATTTATTTCTGAAGTATATTCAGTTTACAGTTTGTCAATTTCTTGTGTACAACATGTTTCAGTCATCCATATACATACATATATCCCTTTTCATATTCCTTTTCATTGCAGATTACTACAAGATATTGAATATAGTTCCCTGTGCTATACAGTAGAAACTTGTTGTTTATCTGTTTTATATATAGCAGTTAGTATCTGCAAATCTCCAGGTCCATCCAAGTTGCTGCAAATGACTTTATTTTATTGTTTTTTTATGGCTGAGCAGTACTCTTTATATAAACATTCCACAACTTCTTTATCCAGTTATCTGTCAATGGATATACATACTATATATTATGTAATATAAACTCTTTATTATATAATAGTGACTATGTCAGGTGATTTTTCTGTTTCTCTGATCTATTTTTGTTAGTATTATATCAACATTTTCTTTATTCTTGTTTATAATTGCATGTTCTAATACCTATAGGAATAACACCTATTTTTTCTTCTATTAATGTTTTTGAGATTACTCTCCATTTTTCTTCTACATAAAGTTTCTACTATTTGTAAAGTTAAAAGAAAATCCTCAAAACTATTTAATTAAAATCGATTGGAATTAATTTTGAAAATACTGATTTCTTTATGTTTTTCATATGCATATATGCCTCCCATGTGTTTGTAATTTTTGCTTCTGTTTTCTATGTTTCATATGTGATATTGCTCTAGTGTCAGAATATATAGACATATAGATAGATACAGACTTAGATATATTCACAAATTTCTTACCATCTATATTGTCAGGGAATATTCATTCCTGATGAATGACAGATAAATGATAAACATATAAGCAAATAGATACAATACTACATGGTATATGTAGTTACAAATATATATGGAAAGTGCATAAAAGGTATTGTACATAGAGGCAGTATAACAGACTGTGAAATCAGAAAAAGTTTGAATTTCATGCTGTCTTTACTACGTCCTAACTTTGTAATATTAGGTAAGTTTTTAAATCTCTTAACCCTCAGTTTTTTTCAACTCATATAACATTAGTATAGTAATATAATGTGTATAGAGTGCTTAACATGGTTTTATGAATGCATGCTTTAAAGGTAGCAATGATGATGCAGATGATAATGACGACAGTGATGATGGTGAGAAAGGTATCTAAAAAGTGAGTTGCAGTTATATGCAATCTATATTGCTTTATAGATAGCAATAAAGAATAGGGATTGGTCTTGAAAAATAAGAATATTCCAGATAAAAGAAGGTACACTTAGCATACAGAATAAAGGCTAGTAAAGGGCTGTAAGTTTACATAGCCTATATGAGGGGATGTTGGGTAGATACGAGATGGCAATTTGTACAGTCATCAAATGGAGTACGAGCAAAGGGCATGGAGATATCATATTTTTGTTTTGGAAAGGTAATGTACATGGCCGTGTGCAGTATGGATTTAAAAGAAGAAAATTCAGATAGGGAGTTCTGTTAAGAGACTACAATATTGAAATAACCCAGGAACGGAGGTGAACTGGAGCCTAAATTATTTGTCAATTATACCTCAATAAAGTTGGCACGAATCCTGAACTGGAGTGTTGGTGAATAAAACAGAGGAGAGAGAAAAACAGGTACCTGCCGGAGGTTAGGTTTCCCAGACGTACCACACCTGTGGCTCGAATTCTAAAGCACGCCAAAGCTGTGCGCCTGCGCAGTTCCATCTTTCGCGGCTTGTTGCCGCTTCCGCTTCGCCGGCAGGATTTATCCTCCTGCCTCTCTTCTGCTTCTCCGGCTCGGCACTCTCCTATCTTCTCAGAGCTGATTTTACATCGTTCCGAGTTGAGAGAGAAGGAGGGTAAGTCTACAAAACGGCTTTGGTTTGGGTGCTGTGGCTTTCTATCTCCTGTACTCTTGGGCTTCTGCAGAGGAAACGGCGCTGATGCTCAAGCTGGGCTGTGTGAGCCGGCCCCCCTCCATAGGCTCCGGGCCCACGCTTCTCCCTCCCCCGGTTCGCCCAGGCCTTGGTGGAGGGTGCGCCATCAACTGCTGGGTGGAAACAGTGAAGTAAAAGAGGGGGAGGTGGGGAAGGCAGCGTCTCCAGCAGGCCTAGCCCTGGCAGCCTCTGAAACAAGGGCTCGGGTGTTCCCTCGCACTCCCTGGGCCCGAGGTACCACCTCTGGGCCAAGGCCGCCTTCTCAGCCCTCTGTGCCTGCGTGCTCTGTGGACCAAGACTTGGGCAAGACCAGTGGAGCCCAGCAGTTCACATTGGGAGATGGCACCTTGGACTACCTGGCAGAAATGATGTCCTCTGCCACCCAGTGCCGGGACACCAAGTCTGGGCCCTCTCGGTGGAGATGGGTCTGGACATCCTGCTCTGGTGGCTGGGCGCTTGGTGGGAGGACCATGCCCTTCGGTGACTCCCTCACCACAGTCGGCAAGATTATTTGGGGTGTCTGCCAGGCAGTGGTTTAGTGGCTGGGTCCCTGCCATGTGCGGGCTTCCCTCAAATGGGTGGGTCTCCAGGTCTCAGTGGCCGCTTTCTGTAGCCCTACAAGGCGCCTCCAACTGGAAGGGCCCCATTCTGGCCCTCAGGGATTCCATCTTGTCCTACTGTGAAGTGGAGGGGACTGGTACTCATTGGTTCTGCAGGCTGTGGTTGTCTGGGTGGTCCTTTTTAGAGTCAACACAGCCTGGCCTGGGGGGTGCCACCCACCACCGCCACTATCACCAGGAATACTACCACCCAGGACATCAGGGTTGGCTCATGGGTGGCCTGGACTTGGAGGCATGTTGTTTGCAGGAGCATAGAGGGTAATTGTACATGGAGGTCAGACTAACCACTGCTCCCATGGTTGATGAAAACCCTTTGCAGGTGAGCTAGGAGCATCGCAGGTGTGGCGAGGGTTTAATCTGGGCTCTTGATTAGCCCTGGATACCGCAGGTAGTTCTTGTTGCCGAGGAGCCGCTGGTTTAGCCTTTGTGAAAGGAAATGACACAGCTGTGGCCCACCCCCACTCATTTCTGCCTGCTTCACCTGTAATTGTATATGAGGATTAAGAAGAAGGCTGCGGGAATGGGTGGCTCCGCTGGATTGGAAGAGAGGGAACTGGAGCAGCCAGGGAACTCAGAAGAGGAGGAGGAAGGGAGGCGAGACAGGGATTAGTGGGGATAGAGTACTTGGAGTGTAGGAGTGAGGGATGAGGATTGAGTACCTGCTTGAATCCAAAGCTGAGCTGTCCATATGGGGAATGAAAGGAGCAGTGGGGATGGGCACCATCATAGCCCCTCTGGACTTTAATTTTGTTGGAGTTCAGGACAGAGATGCCCCAGGCCTGCAGAAGTTAAAGATTGAGAGGGTCACAAGACTACACAGCTGTGCCATCCAAGGTTTTCTGTTTCCTTCCTCCTCGCCCTGTATTTGTCCCCTTCTTTACTCTTCCTTCTTCCCTTCTAAAGAATAGCAGGAGGCCTCATCCTTTTCCCCTTATGTCCTCCACTGTCTTTTAGCTTTACCTCTCCTCCACCTGGGACTGGGTGCAGAACTCGAATCTCAATCTGGGCTCGGAGCTGAACACAGCTGGGAACCATTAGTCCTAGTGTAGTCTCCTATTGGCGCCTTGGGGACTGAGCTAGGACTTAGAGGGTGGAGGTGGGCCTGGATTGGGGGAACTGGTGGAGGATCCTTGGCTGGTGGCAGTGCTTTTGCTTGGTGGACGAACTGCGGCATTTCCATGTCTGTTGGTGGTAGCAGGATTGTGAGTGGCTGTTGTGGACTCGTGGCAGTGGTGCCTATTGTAGTTCCAAGTGGTGGTTCTGTGGCTGTTCTAGGGCTTCCTGTAGCTGTATATGTCACCGTGAAGGATGGTGGCAGAGTGGCTGATTTTTTATGAAGACAGTCATTCCTTGTCCTCTGAGCTTTCAGCAGGAGAAAGACTGGTTGGCAACTCAGCGCAAAAATAAACAAGTAGGACTACATCAAACTAAAAAATTTCTGCACAGCAAAGGAAACAACCAATTGAAAAGGTAACCTACGGAATAGGAGAAAATATTTGCAAACTGTATGTCCCATAAGGGGTTAAAATCCAAACTATATAAGGAACTCATACAACTCAGTATCAGAGAAACTAATAATACAATTAAAAACAGGAAACTGTTTAGAGGAAGAAGGAAAGATATACAATGTAAGGAAGAACAAATTTTCTAAAAATGGCTGTAAGATGTAGTGGCTTTAGAAAAGGATTTGGGATTTTATATCTAGTAATTACTAGCAAGAGCAGTTTCAGTGCAGTTGTAAGAAATAAGGGCAGATTCTAATATGGTGAGTAATTAATGTAAGTAATGATGAGGGGGAGAAAAAGTAGACTTTTTTTAATGTTGGATATTAAAAAGATAAAAGAAAATTGATGGGATTGTTTATATTAAGAACCTTAAGGATGTTTAAAGCCTGCAAGGAAGGTGGCAAAAAGGAGAGAGGGGAGGAAGGAGAAAAGGGTAGAGGAAAGAGAGGAGAGAGATATTCAGATACTGTCTTAAAAGTTTAGGTGTTTCACTTAGATGAATTTCACTCTTACAAAGTATAAGAAACCTATGGCATTAGGTTTCCAGGATTTAGACTAAGTCAAGACCCAATGCCCTTTTTTAAAAATCTTGAAATTTCTGTAATCTCTTATGCATAATAAAAGATAAAACTTGGGTGAAAAAAAGAAAATGCTACACAAGAAAAGATTAATAACTTGTTTAAAATGCCAGTTCCTAGTAACATTCCGATTTATAACTTCTCGATTGTAATTAAAGAGTTTACATTTTAATACTAAAACAGGTATAGTTTTTAAGATTGAATGTAATTGTAATATCCAAACCCATTTTTATTATTAACAGCAGTGAGGAAGTTTTATCTGTGTTAACTTTCAAAAGTCATTAATACATCTTTCAGATATACTTAGAATCTGTGTGTGTGTATATATATAAGAATATATATATTAGTATATCAAATATATAGACATTTAAATGTATACATTAGAATATATATATAAACAAGAATATTCCGATATACATACATATATATGTATATATTATATGTATTCAGTATGGGGTCACCTCTTTGTGGAGAGAGATGGGGCAAATGTGTAGGGGCGCACAGAGAACATCATTCGTTGTTTTTTTCCCCCTAATTTATAAGCTGGGTGACAGTACATGAGTTTGATTTGCTACTTAAAAACAAAAACAAACTCTACCCATACTTTGTATGTTTTTGTATATAATTAAAGAGTTGAAGGAAAAGTCAAATTGAATATATACACTGGCATATATCTTCTCAAGATATGGGCATTTACAAGATATAGATATCACGATACCAGTAGAACAAGACAAAGTAGTAGCTCTTTATCAGAGTTTTGGGTTTGAAATCAACTGAATCCCATCCTGGCTGAATGAGACAGAACACAAATTTATTAGCGGACCCTGGGCAACTCTCATAATTTCTGAATGGACCACAGAATCAGGTTGTGACTCCAGGAACAACCTTCCAAATCACATTGCAGAACAGTTTTGGTGATGGAAACCTTGCAGCTGCCAAGAACCAAAGAGCAGCTTGAACTGCAGCACAGCCAGGCCTTAGCACTGCTACTGCATCACTCCAGGAAGCTGGCCTTCCTGTAGCTGTTGCCAGAGGCAGATTTTGGCCATCCCCAGTTGCTTCCATCACCAAATACTAATTCAAGGTCTGGGTGGATTAGTTTACTGCTGTTGAGCCAATGCCACATGACTATGTTTTAGGTGCAAGGATAAGGTAATAGCTGACATTTTTAAGCTCCTGCAATTGGAGACTTTCTTAGTTTTCCACCAAGAATCATAATGTGGGAATTTTCCTAAACACAGAAAAGGTTTTCAGACACTGGGCAGCCAAAGTAAGAGCAGCACAGGAGAGAGAGAAAGAGAGGTTTACTATAAGCTTTATTCATGGTGTGAACACTATCTAGATTTTCAAGAAGAAATTAACTGCATTGAATATATTGTTTTCCATGTTCATGTCTATAAAGCAGAGTTTCCCAGTCTCAGCACTATTGACATTTTGGGCCAGATGATTTTTTATTTGGGGAATCTATCCTTTGCGGTTTAGAATGTTGAGCATCATTTCTGGTGTCTGCCCATTTGATGCCAGTAGCCATCCCCTACCCATCCCAGATATGACAACCAAAAGTGTCCCCATTCATTGACAAATGCTTTTTGCGAGGGCAGAATTGTTCCGACTGAGAACCATTGCTATAAAATTATGCTAATGCACAGCTTCATCATAACAGACAATGGGAGAATATAACATGAAATTCCAGTCCATAGCACATGTGTTGGTAAACACAGTTTAATCTTCAAGTCACTTGTATAGGATTTTTATTCAAATACCTTATCTTCAAATAGGTTTTAACTTTCATAAGTTAAGAACATCCATCTTTTTATGGCACGGTCATGAAGTAAGTGCAAGCAACATACCAGTAAGTGCAACATCCTACTTAAACGTTTAGAGATAGACTGCACGCTCCCAGATACTGCTTCTCTTTTATTATCTGTGTGATGGGGCATGTATTACTGTACCTCAGTTTTGCCTTAAAGAATGGAGGTCTAAAAAGTAAACATAGTAAACTCTTATTATCAGAAACAAATGAGTAATTGTTTGAATTAGTATGTGAACTATATTGTGTATGCATTTGGTGTGACTAATTATTGAGTGAAAGATTTAATTTGAGGAGACTTCATGTTTTGGAACTGAGTTTACAATCCTCATTATCTCTCTTACCATTATCTCTCTTACTACTCTTTTTCCTTAGTCTTGCCTGCTATTTTTCGGTAAAACAGCATTCTTTTTGTTTTTGAGTCAGCCCTGCTGCTCTGCGCAGCTCCAGGGGGCATCAGTCATTCTACATAGGCTATGCCTCAGGCCTTTTATTCAGCTGCTCTTCCATCTGAAAGAGGCTTTTGTTGACTGGCTTCTAACTGTCAATCAGATATTAGCTTAAATGTTACCTCTCAGAGAGACTTTTCATAATCTTCCAAATATATATACCTACTC